GGTGAACACTCCTTTGACCCCTTTCCCCTTCAACTACTGTCCTCTTTCCTTATTGTTTTGAAATGTGTCTCTCTCGTCTCATTTCCTAGTCTAAAACAGGACTTCTGTCTCTGTCACTCTGATAAAATTGCTTTACTAAAGACGTCAGTTACTACTATGTTGGTTTTCCTGAGCTCTGAGCAGCATTCAAGTAAACAACTTCCTCTCCTCTGCATCTTAAGATAGCACCCTGTTCACTTTGCTATCCATTCCTCTACTTGCTCATTCTCAGTGTCCTTTACCAAATCTCCTCTCAAAATATGTTTAATTTTGGCTTTTCTGATTTCTTGACATGTTTTAGATCACTACTCTGGCCTGTACTTTTTACTTTCATTGTAATTATTTTCAACTACTTTCACGACTTCAAATACTATCTACACATGGAAACTTCCAATTTTCTTCTCAAACACTGACATCTTTCATTGACTCCATATGTACCATTAAAATAGTCACCATCAGCCAGGCATGTTGGCGCATGCCTACAATTCCAGAACTCTAGGAGGCTGAAGCAGGAGGATACCAAATTCAAGCCTAGCCTGGGCAATTTGGCAATCTACTGAGACCCTGCTTCAAAATTTAAAAAATAATAAAAGGGTTGAGGATGTATCTCAAGTGTGAAGGCCCTAGGTTCGATCCGCACTACTGCAAATGAAAGAATGAATGAATGAGTGTATGTCACAATCAAAAAGTAGCTCCTTGGGCTGAGGATTTAGCCAGAAGCACCACACCTGCCTGGCAATTCCAAGTTCAATTCTTGGTACTTATGCCAGACAAAATGGCCACCAGAGACCACGAAGGCAGGCTCTTCATGCAAACATGCCTATGACTAGTAACTATTAGCACGGTACTCTGAAAGCTACAATCTTGAACAAAGGCCACTACAATCTTATGCAAATAATACTTCTGTGAGGATGTGTGTTCAGAAACTGCACATCCAACCTTCTTGGTAAGTCTGTGGGTTACTACTGTTTTTAAATAAATTATGTAATTCTCTCCATCTTACATTTAAAAACCTTGATCTTTCTTTGCCTCCATGAATATGCCTATGATCCATAATAACATACAGTATAGTCCAGATTACTCATCCTCAAATAAAATCAATAAACACTTTGAGAGCCAGTCTCTCTGTAGTTACACCATGCAATCAACTGCCCAGCCAACCTTCCATTGGATGTCTCACACAAGTTAACTCAGTCAGTTAATTCAAAACTGAGCCCGCACTATCCACCATCCACTACCCAGACCTCCCACACTTACTCCTTTTCCAGGGTTAGCTATTGCAGCTGGTCAAAAATCTCTACCTCCTTAAGAAACTCCTGAGTGACTGGATCCTTAACCAATTCTCCATATCCTAACTCAGTACAGCAGGCCACACCCCCATTTAAAATTCATTAGGCTTCCCTCAGTTCTTAAAATAATTGCTAACCCTTAAAATGTCCTAAAGTCCCCTCAGTCTGGGCAAAGGCACTGTCCAGCTCCTACACGGTCCTTGCAGACATTCAAATGTGGCATCTCAGAGCCTGTCCTCTACATGCTCCCCTCCTTGTTCCTTGCCTCACTGATCCAGACTCATCTGCCAGACCTCCCTGATGATGTTTTCTTAGGCCCTTGCCCAAGGGGATGCAGGCTCACCAATGCTACCCATTGAACCTTGTTATTTATACTATTTCACTTATCACATTTGTATTTCGTTTTTCTTCATCTGCTCTTACTGTTAGATGTGATTATGATCACAGATGCTTGTGATCCTCTTGCTTCAGCCTCCCAGAGTTCTGGGATTACAGGCATGTATGACTACACCTAGCTCTAAATATTTTTAAGAGGAAAAACTCAACAAGTTCATGTAAGAGGAATACAGACACTGTAACAGCCAAATACATGCCAGAGCCTTCCCAGCCTTCAGAACTGTGGCTAAAATAAATCTCTTTGCTTTATAAATTACCCAGGCTCAGGTTTGTTTTCTGGGTGGAACTGGGAATTGAACCCAGAGTGTGCTAAACTATTTGCCTAACTTTTAATTTTATTTTGATAGGGCCTCACTAAGTTGCCAAAGCCCTGCTCCAACTTATGATCCTTCTGCTTTAGCCTCTTAAGTAGCTGGGATTACAAGTGTGCACTGTCAAACACAACTTCTCTCATTCATTTCTAACCAGTTTCAAAGTCTCCTTTATTCTTTTACTTTAAAAAAAATTTTTTTTGGTTGGTGCTGGAGCCATGCAAATACTTTACTACTAGGCTAACCTCCCAAGCTCTACTTCTCCAATACTGAAAAATTCAGTGCACTTTCATTTCCCACGGTGATGGCCTGAGATCAGATCCCTCATTATCTCTCATCTGGACCATTCCCATAGCCTCTCATGTGCTCCTGCCCGTCTTCCAATCAATCCTCCATGATACTTCCCAAATGAACAACAATGTATTAACCTCACCATGGTTCTCTAAGCTGAAATGACTTCCATAGCTATATACTGCTTAAAGAATTCAGCTACTCATTCAACAAATACTGTTTACTATATAAATGGTATGATTTACACATTGAGTATATTACAGAAAATGAAAAAACATTTAAAGAATATGGAGCAAGGTAGATATTAAACAAAAAAAAATCCTCTAAATGAACACGATTACAAATTCCATAAGGAAAAAAAAAAAAAAAACAAGTCACAAAGAAAAAGAGGGCAGAACTACTTAAGATTGGGAGGTCACGTTATTGTAGAGAAAACAATACCTCAGTGAGACTCAAAAGATGAGTGAAAGCTGCTTACAGAATAGCACTGAGTGTAGGGGTGCTGTGTCCAAAGGCGGGAAGGGGCGGAGATCTGACAGGGCCACCAGGTCTGTACCGTGGTGGAGAGGAGTGAGTGGCCGAGAGGAAGTGACAGTCTTGTCTGCCTTTCAAACCCAAGGCATGAATTTGTGAAGGACTAAGAGAAGCAACTAAAATATTTTAGGCACACAAATGACACAATGAATCTATTGAAATCTTTAAAAGTTTCTGGCTATGGTAGTGAATAAACAGCAGCCTAAGAGAAAAGACCAGTTAGGAAGCGTAGGAAGCAGTCTCTTACTTCTACAGTACAAGGTATCTTCAGGTAGTGGAGTCCTCATAAGCAAAAAGGCACATAAAACCTTATGACTTAAATAATCCAGATGTATTATCCATCAGTAAAACATTTCTGTTCAGAGGTCTTATCACAAAACTACTTAAGAGTGGTTTATTACAATGTAGTTTCTCCCAGTAGACTCACTGTTCCATCTCATATACAACATCTGTACTTATATGACCAAAATACACATCATACTTTACATGGCCCCAAAGACAAAAGATCTCTTCACTGCTTCTCCCAGGCTGACAAGCCTAGCAAACAGCTCCACCTTTCAGCTAAGCACTATGCCCAAAACTCAAGAGTTAAACCTGACTCTTCTCTTTCTTCATATTTTACAGCACACGGAAAATAAGTACCAACTTATACTGAATATAAAACTCAACATAATTCTGTGGAAATTATTCTAAGTGATTAAATAGAACATTGATTTGGCTATAGTACAGCATACTACAATATGCCATAACTGCATTTTCACTTTAAATATCACTGCAATAAATGTATAAAGATAAAACATGCTTCATTTCTTAATGCTCAAATTCATTTGCTAATTCTTTTTCAAGAACAACAAAACAAACACCAGCAATACATGTCATCTCAGATCTACAAAAATAATTTAAGATCAGATGTTCAGAAATTTTCTCATTTGTTTTAAAATTAGTCTCTGAATACTTCTCTAAGACAGTTAAAATTAGGTCTATTTCATACCAAACAGGTATTACAGCAATATTAATTTCCCTATTACTGTTGATAACAAGTCATCCTACACATATAAACCTCCAGCCAACCAAATTTTAGTTTTGATATTTAAAAATTCTTTTAGCTGGGTATAGTGGCACACACCAACAGTCCCAACACTCAGGAATCTGAGGGAGGAAGATGGAGAATTTGAGTGCAGTCTGGGCTACATAGCAACTTCAGGGTCAGCCTGGACTACTTAGCAAGATCGTTTCTCAAAGGAAAAAAAAAAAAAATGAGATTAAAACATTTGTAAATTCTATTTAGGGACCCATCTGTCTTTTTAAATAGAGAAAAGTAAAATCATTTTAAGTTATTCACTTAACATTAACATCATTTATCATACTATGTCTCAAAATACTTAGGATATTTCAAGACAGCTTGAGGTCAAGATAGTAAACCAGTTACTTTTATCCTAATTCTAGAGTTTCATCGTGTTCCTTTATTCTTCTCCACAGGCGCCCCTTTGTGATAGAATGGCTTCCCCCCACTCCCTCTCAGTCTAATAAGTAATCTGTCCATCTCATCAGGTTCTCCTCAAGGCTCTGACGTTGATTCTAACTCTTCTAATTCAAAAGGACAAAGCAGAGAGGAGAGCTATCTTCCCTTCTAAATGGTGGCCTGAGCTGCGGTCTGGATTCCTAAGTGTACTCTCCATAGTAAAAGCTGTCTGGAATTTGACAACCAGATAAGAGAAACAGAAAAACAAGTGTCACTACCACAGCAATCCAGTAATATGGAACATTACTGTGTTCACATAACTTCTAAATGATCAAGGAGGTGGTATACTAACTTCACACTCACAATTCTCCACAATTTTATGATAAATACTTAGAATTTAAAATGGATACAGTTTGTATCCATTACAACATGGTTACAGGGAGAGAATCAAAGCTGGGGGAAAAGGTCCAAGTCAGAAATTAGCTTACACAGAACACAATTTGTATTGGCCAGGGGGCCCTTTGTGGGCCAATACACCTAGAGTAATTTAGACTATGAAATACTGACTACAAGACCATAACCAAAATGAAATGCTATGTAAAGTGAGAAGGAACTCTATTTCTGCATGGCAATATAACTATGGATGGATGGGCATAGCGCATCTCCTGTTGCACGCACCCTGTTGCTCGTCAAGTGACATGGATCCGAGCTGTTTGTTAACCACAGAAGAAGGAGAATCTGAAACAAAAATAAGATTTCAACTTAAAAGTAAGCAGCAGAAAACTGCACAGTAATGTCATGATCAACTCTACGCTTAAAAAACAAAGTACAAGGGTAGGCAACAGAAGTCAGTACAGTGGTGTTTTTCTAAGCAGTACGTAAGCAAGGCCATGTGCTTAAAATGTTATTCCAGGCAAGCATTTAGCAACTTTCAGAATCAGTTAAGAAAATACTCTTCTACTGCCATGCACATACCTTTTATCAAATTCATTTAGGACAGGCACAAGGTACATGATAGGTAAATTAGCTACAGGGTATTTCCACTAAACAGAAGGCTCCTTGCCCTTGTCGGACTCCCTCTCCAGCTCCTTTAGGTGCTTGCAGCCTGCCTTGGAGGATTCAGAGCATGAAATGAGATGCTCAAGGTAGTTGGTGAGATGTGGTGTGTTATACCATGAAGTGAACAAGGAGCTCAAGTCAAGATGTCAGACAGAGAAAATGTTACTGAATGAAGTAATCACCTTTACAGAAATATACGTAACTTTAAAAAATTCTCTAGTAGCCTGTGCACATTAAAACTATACTCTGTGAAAGCTTAGGTTTCTTTAGAGGTATCTGGCAGGGAAGAAAAAGAGAGGCATGGACAAAGTTTAATGGTCTAGGCTTTGCAATTTCCACTTTGGCTACAAAGAGAAAAACTTTCTTTTTATCTTTGGTACATACTGGGTATCTATGTGAGAGTTCATTATGTAAATGGATTATACTAGTGGTACAAGAAAATGAAAAGGGCACTTGTTAGTAAGTACAGATTCTAAACCTGGTTCTAACAATATTTAGCAACATCTTTAGGCCCGAGGTTATCTCTCCCTGATGGCGTAGGGAAGCCCTAGATAATATAGACTAAGCATCCCTAACCCAAAAATCAGAAGTGCTCTCAAATCTAAAAATTTTAGTTAACATGACACCACAAGAGGAAAATTCTGTACCTAACCTCACGTAGGATAGGTCCCAGTCAAAACTCAGGTATGCCAAAAATATTATATAAGAAATCACCTTCAGTATTTGTGTTGAAGGTGATAGAAAAAAACAAATGTCTCTTATTTAGGCCTGTAATGAATCCCCAAGATAACTCAAAATGTATATGCAAATACCCCTAAAACCTAAAAAAAAAGAAAATAATAATAACAATAATGAAATCTGAAACACTTCTGGCCCCCAAGCATTTCAGATACAAGACACTCAATTTGTAGGAGTTGTGGCCCATGCCCATTTCTGGCTTGGGTTCCAGTATCCCTGTGGAGTGATAAAAAAAGGAAAATGTGGGTAATATGCATAGCTCTGCCTCAAAGGTAAAAATAATTCCTAATTTCTAGTATTCTGTGCTCTAGATTTTAGTAAATGTTGTTAATAAAACACTCTGGCTGATCAACAGCTTTGCTCATAATGGCATTTCACTTCTCAAAAAGTAGCTGTTTTAAGTGAAGATCACCCTAACAGGGTAGCAAAGCAAAGTTTTCCAGCATATCCTGGCTTCCTACTGGTTTTGTATCATTTGAGTGCTTCCCTTAGTACATTTAAAACTCTCAATCCTGCTACCAGTACTACTTGCATCTGTTTTAAATCTTCTAGCTTGTAATATCACACTAGTCTGCTCACAGATTTTTTTTGTTTTTTTGAGACAGGGTCTCACTATGTAGTTGAGACTGACCTGGAACTATGTAGCCCAGGCTGGTCTTGAACTCACAGTGATTCTCCTGCCTCAGCCTCCCAAGTGCTGGGATTACAGGCATGCACCACCATGCCCGGCCTCACAGATTTTGATAAAGCGTGACCGTTATTTGATTAATAGCTTTGACTTATCCTAACTCACTACTTCATCAAAACATTCAGTTAAAAGGGTCTTTACTACATGAAGAGTGAGAACAATAGTATTTCAACCAGTTCCTTAATCTGCAATAGTTTATTTTCCTTTTTTTTTTTTTTTTTTGGTTTTTTGAGGCAGGGTCTCACTATGTAGTTGAGACTGACCTGGAACTCACTATGTAGCCCAGGCTGGTCTCGAACTCACAGTGATCCTCCTGCCTCAGCCTCCCAAGTGCTGGGATTACAGGCATATGCCACCATGCCCAGCCTACTTTATTTTCCTTTTTAAAACAACTTCTCACCCATACATTTAAGAAGTTAGATTCAATGTAACCATTATGTTGTTTTGCAAGAATAGTAAAGGTAGCCTTCAGAAATAAATTGTGTTTTTCAAATATTAAAGCTTCTATTAAGACAGAAAAATTTCACTGAGCTGACTGATGGGCTTCCTTTTTAGGTTCATAGTCCATCACAGATACTGTCCATTTCTGGAAACTTTCAGTGTTCTTTACATCTTAAAGGCTAATCTCTACAATGAAATCCCTCTCAGGTACTGCTGTTATGTATGACTGTAGGAATATACAACTATTTTTTGGAAGGGTTATTTTACTGTCACCTAAACATTATAAGTGACATGCTTTTATACCTCCAGGTATTCCTAAATACATGTCTCCAAGTATTAACACAATAACCATCAGAATACCGATATCAAAAACTATAATTAATGGGCTGGGAATTTAGCTCAGTGTTTCCGCCACCTGCTTTGCGAGCGCAAGGACCCAAGTTCGATCCCTGGCACCAAAAAAAAAAAAAAAATTATCACTTCAACATGACTTCAGGCCAGGCGTGGTGGTGCACACCTGTAATCCTAGCACTCAGAGGCTAAGGCAGGAGGATTGCTGTGAGTTTGAGACCAGCCTAGGCTACATAGTGAGTTTTAGGCCAGTCTCAACTACATAGTGAGACCCTGTCTCAAAAAACCAAAAAAAAAGAAAGAAAAGATGACTACTTCAGCTGTTTGCATAATCTACTTCATTTTTCTGTGAAAGGTCTTCTAGAAAGCACCATCACAAAATAAAAACTTGAATATATAAGGATAATTTACTACTAAATATAATATGAACAGTCAGCTTATCTGAAGTGTTTAGAATGCCAATATTACTTTTGAGGTGGAGACAAACTTCAAGTAACAGTTCATACAATTCTAAGCTCAGTGTCAATTACTACAGATTTCCAAAAATCTAGCGGTTTGGTCTTTAGCTCCTCAACACCAGAATTTTTCTGATTGTAGAAAAAGACAATTACAGTGTAACAGGTAAAACGCAAGAACTCTTCAGCCAGACTTGTTGGGTCTGAATGCAGTTTTCCACTCAGTAACACTGTAAATGGGGACAAATTACTTAAGCCTCATTTTCTCCAGCCAAAGTGGCGACAGTCTCTCCAGTGTTCCTGTGAAGACGTAATGAGGTAACCCATGGAAACTACTTACCACTCACGGTCAACTAATGTTAACACTACTTAAATGACACAGAGGGTCTGTGAATGTTATTACTACTTTCCTATTCTTCAGAGACATACAGAATGAAAAATAGTGGCAAGATTCATCACTATTTTGTTTAGGACTAGCCACTCAAGGTAGTTATGAAGTGCTTACAGAACTAGGCTGATATCACACCTCATTTACTAAGTACCTACATGCACTAACAACATGGACCAAACGCATTCATTTGGAAAGTGCTACAATGTGATTGTTACCTTGGCTATGGGGGAATCTGAAGTTATATAAAGCCTGCCTGCACAGGATTGGCAAAGTGCTGATTTTTCCAATATGGCTCAGTTTTGACAAGCCCTTTTTATAAAATAATCACCAACGTTTTATACCCTTTTGGGGTATAAAAGTTACTTTTTATTTCTCCAATTGGCAAAACTGTGCCATAAAGTGAAAAAACAGTTGCTACCTGACCCTCTCTAGGCTGGCTCCATGCTCCAGTGGGGCTCTGTGGTGGTCGGGCCAGTACCAGCAGAATCCACAGGGTGCTGTCACTCTGAGCAGGAGCCAGCAACTCATCACTTCAGGGGACCTGGAATGGAAAAAAAGGGGGGTCTTAAAATCAGCCATAAAGCTGACTGCCTCCGTCACTGCTTAGGGCACTCACTGGACCAACACATACTGCTCATTCAGAACCCTGAATACTACACCAGCCTGAAATGGCTTTGACATGAGAACACTTAGAAGCAGTAAGTGAAAGAAACTGTCAGTTAAGAATGGGAAACTGACGCTTAAAGCAACCACATGACGTGCCCAAGTTCATCCAGGCATAGGGTGAGGGACAGGAATTCAGTCTTAAACTCACTCGGTAAGTGATGTGATTAAAGATTCATTCTTCGTTACGACACGTTTCCTAAACTCCTGAAAATGAGTTACAGTATATTTCCTACCAATCTAGAAAAAGGAATAATTTTATAAAACTAAAGTAATAATCTTTTCAAGTATGTTCTGACTTGAAAACTGTATTTTTGAAAACTAGTTCTAAAGGATTATTATTTATAGGGTCAAATATCCTTTAGCACAGTATTTTTCAAATGAGGCTTCAGAAAACATGAGGGCCTTGGGATCCACATGAGGGTAAGCAGGCATGTCACCACTCCTTATCTCCTGTTTATGGTGTCACTTTCACATGTTTAAAGTCAGCACTTCCACATAAGGCTCCAATGAAATAGTTCACCACTAGGAAAAAAAAAGAAAAACCAAAAATCTAACATTTATTTTATGTATCTTATCTTAAGCAGTAACTGGAAACTGCGTGCCTGGAATGATGTTTTAGTGTTCAACTATCAAGAACTACTGATAACTAAAAGCTAATACTCCATTTGAGACCATCAATGACTAGCATCCAGCTCCTTCCTATTTGATCTCACTTTCTGGAAAGTGGTTTCATCTCACTTCCCTCTAGAAATTAAGTACTGTTCTCGCCTTACACTCAACCTTTCACAAAAGATTCCAATTAAGTCCTATGTTTTCCAAAAAGAATGTTTAGTAACAAAATAATTTAGAAATTCTTTTTGTGCTTGTTAAAGTTTCTCAGTTTCCAAATTGTGATCATGTCTCCTCTGAGCAACTTTTACCTAAAAATCTTAAATAAGTGGAAAGGCAATGGACATATCACTTACTGGCAGGACCATCACTTACTGTACCGCAAAGATATCAAAGTATAACAGAAAATATGCTTTCTATACATAAAAATTACATTCTTCTAATATTAGTAAAATCTACAGTTAATTTTGGTGCCTTCTGTAGGGACAGTAATAACATCTATCATAATCATCAACTGACACAAAACTGCATCTAATCATTAAGAACAAGATAGATTTATAATGGTTTAAGCCAGCTGCCCTGTTTAATCTCATAAATTTAATTTCTTTTCTCTATTTTTGCAATTTGTGTTCTGAAATGAAGAATTCTGCACTAAGCTAATTCATTCACCATACCCCCAAATTTATTAATAGATTTTATCAGTTAACTGATTAATGTCCCTTATTAAATGTTTTTAAAAGTTTTAATTATCAATAGTGTTCCCATGACATGCGAGGACAGAATATAAGCCGCACTAAGTCAAGGAGCACAGGGCACATTACAGATCAGACTCAGCACCTCATCTGTGTGCTGTGTTAAACACGGAGTTGCAGGTGAGGAGGTCAAGGGATAAGGAGGACAGCACTAAGAGACCCGTGAGCAGCCTCGGGGACACGGGAACGCAGTTTAACAACATGGAAAAGATGACATGTGTCTCAGCTTTACAGCTGATGAGGCATCTATTCACTTAGCTTTTCAGTAATTGTCACAAATGAATTAATTAGAATGATCCTGAGAAACGGGAAGAGAGCATTAATTTCAGAGACCATCCAATCACCCTAAATTTCTCATCTTAAAAAGAACTTCCTTTAATTCAAATATGTGAACTATATACAAAAGACTAGTAAGTCCAAAATATTCTAACAACCACAATGTACACTTATTTCTTCCTGAAATGCTGGAGTTTTACTCTATACTCAAACTCACTTTAATACTGAAGTTGATTTGTATAAAAACTACTACATAAAACCTGCTAAATTTTAGTACTTAAAAAATATTCATATATGTAGGAACATTTTATTTTCCTTTTTATTCTTTATGTTACATGACTTCTTTTTACTTTCAAAACGCTTTGGCTAGAGTCTTAATATTTGGCACGAAATCACAGCAAATTTATTAATGAATGTCATTATATTCTGATTAAACATTTAACTGTAAGTTTCAGACATAGGAAAAGATATGCCTAAAAGAATCCAAAACAAAACACAAGAAAAGTCTTTGACTGACTGAAATTCCTTCAATACAGTAACACTGAAGCACAAATCAAGTCTATGATTGGCCCCAAACGTCATATCTATATCATAGTGACCTACGTGCTTTTGTTACTGGAACAGATATTCATGATGTGGAGGTACCCTAGTTCTACTCATGTATAATACTGACTAATTCCAAGTAATTAAGTCAGAGTTCTCAGTAATTAACACTAAATTAATCACTACTGAGAGGAAAGAACAAATTATATCAAACAATATATTATAAATTCATTAGAAGATAGGAATAGTGGCACACACCTATAATCTCTCTCAGCACTCAGGAAGCTGAGGCAGGAGGATCACCATGAGTCTGAGGCCAGCCTAGGCTATGTAATGGGTTCAAGGCCAGGCTGGAATATACAATTAGATCCTATCTCAAAACAAAAAAATCATTAATATGATAATCTAGACATATTGTCATCCATAAATATTAATACACTACTATAATACCTATAATATAGGATCTATAGTACTTATTATCCATCTCAAAAGAACTAAGTTAACATTACTTTGCACTGTATCCTTTATTAATTCAACAAATGTCTAGTGAGCATAATTTAGAAGAACTGAGGTAATTAAAAGACTCCACAGTGGCACAGACTACTATTTTATCAGAATTTGCTAGTGTAGTAACAGGAAAATGAGACCATGTAATACTTTTGCTACCTTACACATTAGGAAGTTGATTATGTATAAAAGAAATAAGTAGGCAAATACTGAAAAATCTCAAATAACGACAAAAGGGAATGACTGAATCAGCATGCTAGTTTGGCCAAACAATACTATAATTCTAAAATCTAGCAAAGCAGGAAAAAAAAAAAAAAAAAAAAGACAAGAGCTAGGGGCCCATAAGCAAATTCCATTTAGCATACAGGAAATTTCAGCAAAAATATCAATGCAGCCTCTAAATTCACTAGATAATTATTAGGAGCTCACCAGCTGTAAAAGTAATAAATATCTGTTCCCCTCCAAAAATATTACAAACAATGTGAGGGATTATTTTATATTCACATCTTGGCAAATGCTGCTGCCAATCTGGCCCTCTACAACAGATGTTGAATAACATTATATGCAAGGGGAGAGGGACGGGCTGCAAGCGCACCAGGGAAGGGGAAGCACCATGATACACAGTAGCAGGACTAGAAACAATGCTACCAGCTGCTCAAGGACACTTGACATTAACGACCTGAAGCACAAGGGTCCCGGGGAGAGCCCTCGTGGGGAGACTGATCGGAAGTGGAAGGCTGCTGCTGCCTCTGAGCAGCCAGCTCCTGCTGCCTCTGCTGCTCAGCCTTCTTAAGCCTCAGCTGCTGCAGGCGCTTACGGAGCAGAGCTATCTCAGGGCCCCTTAAAAATTCTGATGTAGACAGGAAAAGAAAGGTGAAGAGAGAGCAATAAAGAGAAAACAGTAAGAATTTGATTATACATTAAAGAGAGGAAAGATACAAATAAAACAGGTCTCATAGACCACTAAAAATTTACTGATAAACTACTGGTTATTAAATTATGAGACAAATTATGCACATACACAGAAATACTTCTCTTTACAATAAATTAGATATGCACATTTTCCTAAGAATATTTAAGTAATTAAGCCAGATGAAAATAAACTCCTCTATAAGCAAAGCACTACTGCACTTTGCGGGGGCTGGGGACTGAACCAAGAAACTTCACACACGCTAATAAGCACACTCTCTACCATACAGTTATACCCCTAGCTCAGAATTTAAACTGAACATTCTTTTCCTCACTAATTTTCTCTTTTTACAATGAAATGATACTAAAAAAATAATAATTGCAAAGTATCAGCTAAATAATTTACTGTGCACAAAAATTTAAGATACTTGATTTCAATCAAGTGATAATTAAAATAATAAAAAGCTATGCATTTGGAAACAACACCTGAAATTTAGAGATCTTTTTAAAAAGTGAGTAATGCATTAGAAGTGCCATTTTTTTTAGTTCAAAAATATTAACAAAATATTTTCTTAACCTTTACCTGAAGATAAAAAGGAAATAAAAGAAACACCATGCAGTTCTGGAAAGAGGTTTCTGTTAAATATCTAGTAAGTTTGAGGCTTTGGAGATAAATTAGACATTAAGCAAAATATTTCCTATTCCTGCACAGTTTATGTTCTGGGGGAAACAAAGACACCTGCAAATGCATAGACAGAAGCACTGCATAAACACACATAACATATGCATGTGTTTGCATGTGTCCTATGGAGATGACTGCTATGAATCTCTCTCTCTCTCTCTCTCTCTCTCTCTCTCTCTCTCTCTCACACACACACACACACACACACACACAATATAGACACACATCTCTCTCTCTCTCTCTCTCTCTCTCTCTCTCTCACACACACACACACACACACACACACAGTATAGACACACAGAATGTACCAGTGTTTGCATGTATCCTTTGGGGATAACTGCTATGACTCACACACACTACATATCCATACATACATACGTGTACATGCAGCGTGTATGAAAGTATTTGCATGTGAATTAGGGGGACAACTGTTACGAGTTAACCACAAATAGCACGTACATATAAGTCTGCATGTGTCATGGAGAAAACTGTGCACACACACTATACATGCAGAGTGTACATATGTGTTTCCATGTGTCCTATGGGGATAACTGCTGAATTAAGGTGTCAAAGTAAGGTAAAGAGGGTGCAGATGGTAGTAGAGAGAATTGCTATTTTGTGTATGATTGCAGGAAATGCTTCTCTCATAAGGTTGCCATTTGGAATAAAGACCTCAAGGATATGAGGGAGTGAGCCACACAGATACCTGGTGGGAAGAATTTTCTGAGTGGAGGACAGAACAGTGTCAATGCCCAGGAGAGAAGTTTATCAAGGTATGAGACATATTTTAAAGGCAAAAAGAGAATTTGCTGATGTTCTAGATTATAGAATGATCTCAAAGTTTTGGCTTAGTAACAGGAAAAGCAGGGTTGTCATTCATTGCAATAAGGAACAGTGGAGGAGGAATGAGTTTTGCTGGAGAAGGAAAACACAGCCATGCGAGTGGACAAATTCAGTAGAGACTGAATTTTAGTGTAAAGTTCCTAGGACGGTGGTGGTGAACCTCTGGAGCGCACGCTGCAGTGGGCTGTTTGTAGCACCGAAAGCTCTAAAAGGTTCGCCATCACTGTCGCAGGATACATAACTGGAATGCCACTGGTGATGTCACTTTAAGTTCTCTAGACAGAAGTGAGGACAAAGAAGAGATTTAAGAACCGAACCCCAGGGGACACCAGCGTGCAAGAGGAGGAACACTGTCTAAGAGGGACATGAAGAAAAGCCAGAGAGGGGGTCAAAGTTGGAGCAAGCAGGTATGTCACACGCTGGTGACCGACTGGAAGAGAGGCTGACTGATTCTAAGCACTGATTCTGCAGTGGTATGTAAGTCACTGGTGACCTGGGAAAGAGCTGTGTAATGGAATGATGGGGCCAGAACCAAAGTGCAGCAAGTACGAGAAGAAGCAGAAAGAATGAAGAGACACAAAGCATTTATACTCTGCAAAAGTCCTGCGCTTAAGTGGAGATCAGAGAAATCAGATGATGGTCGGCTGAAAAAGAGTCAAAAGAGGTTTGTGTGTTTCAGTTTGGGAAATTAAAGAACAAGTTTGCATTGTGATGGGAGACAATGCATGAAAAAAGCGGGCAGCTGCAGGAAAGATGTCCTTGAGTAGACCAGAAGCTATGGGTTCTAGTGGCTAAGAGGAGGAACTAGTTTTGGAGTAGGAGCTTAAAAAAAAAAAATTGAGTAGCCAGCTACTAATGGAGACTAAGGCAGGCAAATGGCAAGTTTGAGGCCTTGTGAAAAGACAAAAACAACAAAAGAACCCCACCCAATTTCACTGTGGTTTCAAACCCTCTCTTGGAGCTGCCAAAATGTTTTCGGAAGGTAGAAGCCTCTAGCCTAGAACCACTCAGCAACGTAGCAAGTGAAAAACAGGCTCTAGGTGTGGGCACTAATGCTCTGCAACTTGGAAAATCAACATCTAGCCAAGATAATCTTACAAACCATTTACTCAAGTGTTTCCAGTGTTACTTAAGATCTTGTTTGTCAACTTTTAAGGCTGGTTGAATGACAGTTCCGCAATCTCCCCAAATAGGTTAAATTAAAAAAAGAAAAAGTGAGGCTAGGAAGTTACCACACACAATTAACTAGCAAAGGCAGGTACTGAATTAAAAATCTGAACCAGATCTATCATATTAAACAGTTCTGCTTAGCAGTTTGGAATATTACAGCACTTAAGAAATACACACATTATATCCTTTTTTAAATGTATATACTGTCACTTATAAATGTACACAATATTTAGAGAATGTGTTTTTAATATAAAACTAAAATGAATACTCTGGTTGAATTTTCTAGACAACAACTCAACAAGGTATCAAGAACTAATAGAGAAAATCTGCACTTCCAACCCCTGAAACCACGAATCCCATTCTTGTTTTCTTCAGAAAAACTCAAGGTTATTCTTCCTACTGGCTTAATACTACTCACTCATAGGAGAAAATTAAAACTAGCTACAGTTGACCCAACAAAAGGACACTTGGTTTCTAACTTCCTATCATGCCTCTATAATCTGTAGGGTCTTCTGTTGTGAGCCCTGAATTATTATTTGTCTGCTATCAGTCTGTCTTACAGTCCCAAACTGCTTCTTATCCCAGGGACCTGTGTAGATTTTTCCTCCAGGGACTGCTCACTCCTTCACTGACTTCCAAGATTTTCTCGTTCACTCCTTCAGTTTCCCCACAGTGACTATCAAACTGTTTCTAATCAGCAAACAGCCTATACCCAGACTGACTGGACCCCAATCCTACTGAAGGAAACTACAATCTAGACATTTGGACTTGAATAGCTTGTACAAAAGCCCTTCATTCGCCAGCAATTTTTCAAAAGAGGTCAATACAGTTCTAATGATTATACATAGACCTAAATAAACCTGTAAGCATGAGCAGATGTATTTGTAAATAGGCAGGAATCTACACACAGATCTTATTATCTAAACAAACTGAATTCTCATGTCTGTAGGCTACTTAATTAGAAACACAGGGATCTTTTGAGAGCCCCCAAACTGAGTTGTGTGTGTACTGATATCCCCATCTAATCCAAAGTTATCATTTTTCCAATCATATACTTTAAAGGTTAAAATGCAATCAAAGGAAAAAAATTAAATTATAACACTAGAAAAACACTTCATACTCATCCCAAGAAGCTTAAGATGAAAAAATTTACAAACAGCACATTAAATGAAAATATTTCCAGGCTTAGCTTAAGAAGTAACTTAGAGATGTCTGACAGGCACTGCAGAGAAATGAAGATAATATTCTATAGTTACTTAAAATTTTTAAAAATGATGAAAATTTACTTTTAACCTACACAGGTTTAGTATATTGCCATATATTTCTAAGCTTTAAATATATAATTTTATAAATACTTTTTAAACAGAACAGTCTTTTGTGAAATGCTCAAGACAGTAATACATATAAGAATCAAAATGTCAGCCAGATGTGGTGGCACATGCCTGCAATCCCAGCACTTGGGAGGCTGAGGCAGGAGGATCACCGTGAGTTCGAAACCATCCTGGGCTACATAGTGAGTTCCAGGTCAGTCTCAACTACATAGTGAGACCCTGTCTCGAAAAAAAAAAAAAGAATCAACATGTCTGCTGAGATTCTGGACTATGTATGTAGACTATGGTTTCAAATGATCTCTAACACGAGTCAAAAATATTAAATAAGAAGCAAGGGATAAAGAAGCAAAGGAGGAGGAGGAGAAAAGATACACCAACTGATTTGGAATTACACCTGAGTACATTTATTTTCCTAATTCAGCTCCAAAACCCAAAGCCAATTTTGTAGTACCCTCTCCACGTCCCATTGCTCAGGTCATGCAGTTGGTGTATTTACCTCACTTACGACTTCATTTTATTTTTAATCCTACCCATTTTTCTATCTGTCCCAATTTATTCATTTATACATGCAGCCACATAATCTTTAGAAAATATTTCTGTAACTTGCCTTAAAACATCTGTAGAGAAAGCTAAGAAAAATTATCTACTCAATCTTAAAAGGCCCCACTGGGGCAGGATAAATAAGGGATCTGAATAATAAATGACTGGACAGCTAATTACAGCCTCTCTCCAAGGTGTCACCATATTTTAAGAGCTTACTGGAAATACCTAGAGTTAACGAAGTGGGCTCAAAACTCTAAAGACTAAAACATACGTAAATATACCCTACCTAGCCTATACCAGCTCAATGGTAAGTAAATGTCTCCCAATACTCTTGCTGTACCTTTAGTGACTGATGGAGGAAAAAGACACTGAGATTAGAGACAAAGATAATGTCCCTAATCTTCGTGAGAACATATCCTAGTAAGAGAAATGTTATACATCAAATGAGTAAAAAGAGAAGAGGACTTTGTTTAGGAGTAGTTACGAAAAACCTCTTTTGGATAAAATTTTGAGCTGAGAACAAAGGAAAAAAACGGTCGTCTGTATGATAAGCTGACAGAAAAACTACTGAGGAACAAAGGACAGTAAGAACTTAAGTTGAAGTAAAAAAGAATCATTTAGTTCAGTGGTAACCACAACTATCTACCTCATAAGCACAAGGTCCTCAGTTCAATCCCCATTACAAAAAAAAAAAAACAAAAAACAAAACAACAACAAAAAAAAACCCAAACACACACAAGGGAGGGAAGGAGGGAGAAAGGAAACTAAAGGAGCATTAGAAAATCTGACACATTAAAGAACGGAGAGGAAATCATGAGCATAACCACCACGGACTGATAAAGTAGGATCAGAAGACCCCAGAGAGGTAGAAAAAAGGGCTAGGTCATCATGGCTTCTTATAGGTCCATAAAAAACTTAATGGTTTTTTGGTTTGGTTTGTGGTTGTACTGTATTTCCAAATTCATTAGATGCCCTGATGAATTTTAAACAGCAAAGTTGTATAATCTTATTCAACATTTTAAAATACTCAGTCTAGCTGCTTCATGAAGAGTAACTTATAAGGGAAAAAGAGTAAATGCAATGAACTAAATTAGGAGACAAGAAAAGACGGTGAAATGGAAAGAAGTAAATATATTTTAGATAGGAACCAACAGAACTTGTTGATGAATTGAATGTGGGGCATGAGAGAAAGAAATCAAGAATAACTCGTGGGTTATTAAAATAACTAAATAGGTAGATGGTCTTATAATTTACTAAGCCATAAAAGAACTAAGATCAAACCAATTAGGAAACAGAAAAAGCAGGAGGCTGAATGAAGTTTTAGTTTGGACACCTTAAATTTAAGATGTATACAGACAACCAAAAAGGGCTGGGGATTTAGCTGAGTGGTTCTGCTGTCTGCCTCTCAAGTACAAGGTCCCGAGTTCGTTCCCCAGTACCAAAAAAAAAAAAGACAACCAAAAGGAAATGTCCAAATAGCAACTGGACATAAAAGTATGGAACTCAGGGTAGAGGATCAGGCTGTTGATAAACCTTTAGAATCTTAAACTTAAGAGGCAATAAATTAAAATGTATGGAGAGATGATAGGATCACTGAAAGATGACAGTATACAGGGACAAGAAAAGACAGTAGGATTAGGGCTTCAACCGTAATAAACAGCAGATAGGAAAGGAAATGTGAATAATGGTTACTGAAAACCAGCCACAATTGATAATAATATTTAGGTAAACGTCATAAAAAAAAGCCAAGAAAAGAAAGTATTTCAAGAAAGCATTGACAGAGTAGGTTCAGTGTAATTGGGTTAAAAAAAAAAATCTAGTAAGATACTAACAGACAAATAGCCTCTCAATTTGGCAAGACAGAGGTCATTGGTGACTTGACAAAAGTTTTTAAGGAAAAAGTTGAAAAATAGATTTCAGTTGGTCATGAATAAATGGGGTAAGAAAATGAAGACAGTACATGTGATCAACTCTCCTGTGGATTAACTACAAACGGAGTAGAGAAATAAGGCAGCAGAGTAGCTGTGAGGGAGATGTAAGACAAGAGCATTTATGTTCTAATGGAGGTAAGAGTCTTTTTTTTAAAGAGATAAGAGCATATTTAAGGCTGCAAAGCATTTGGCAGAAAAACAAAACAAAACAAAACAGTAATAATGGTGGAGAAGAAGCAAAGTCCTTGAGAAGCTGGAAAGGGACAGGAACTGCACCAGCAAGACTTGATAGGAAAAGACACATTTCTTCCAAAATGTGTTTTTGCTTCTAGCATTAGACAATGTGAACATAGACATGGAAAGTTGGATGATTCAACAGCGGGAAAATGTATTTTTCTTTTCAATGTGAATGAGAAGTTAGTAGCTGAGGGAAGAAAAGGATCAAGGAGAGGGAAAAGTCAGAGAGATACAAAGGGGTAAGCTGAATGTTTTGTACAGTTGGAATGGCAACAGTGTTCAAAGACAGACTGCTCCAACACAGTGTTAAGCACCCGTGAAAATTTGCAGCTTTCTTCACTGTGGCTCAGTGATTCGGTTGCAAACTAAAAGTTTGACCACAGTTCTCACATTCCCACTGTCCCTCTCCTTCACTAATAAAAATGACAGTAAATGTAAGAGAGAAAAAGGAAAAGCTCAAACATTTACATAGAGGTGTCCACAGCAAGGCAAATACAAGACAACAGCTGTTTATATCTCCGTCTCTAAGAAGGAATTAGAAATCATGAGACTGTAAGCTAACACTTCCATCTTCTACTTCACTGTGGACAACTGTGATACCCTAAAACCATCTGGACTGAGGCTATGATAACGACAAGAGAGAATGGCCCCAAACAAAAACAAAAACATTAAGTCCTTACTACTGAAATGCTGGACTCTGGGATGAGTGAGTCAGGATCAGAACAATTTACAGATAGTCACCTTTAGATATTACGAGTTACAAAATTATATTCTTCAGTAACAATCTGTCTTAGAAACGTAGAAATACTTCAAAGTATCCATATTTAGTCAATCAAAATCCTCTCAATAATCTCCCAGGTAAAATATTTCTTTACTTTCTTTGGAAACTATGCACACAAAGGTGCTAAGTAATAATTCAATGGTCCTATGATCATAAAAAATGTCTAATCTGAATGATTTCAATGACTGTAGTACATAATATAGTACTGAAATCGGTTTAGCAATTTGAAAGGGTATTAAAGGACATTAAATATCTTTTTTTTTTTAAGTTAAAAAAACTAAGCTCTAAATCATTTAACTCACAAATGTATAACTAATTAGGTTAAGATGACAATTTGGTAAAATAATTATTATTTTTCATGTAAATACTGGAGGAATAATTTTTTGGTAAAAGGCATTTGTTGTTGACAAGAGTGCGCCATACCAAATGTAATGGAAGAATTATATGATTCAAGGAAAAATACGGAAGAATATACATACAATGTAACTAATAAATAATGAGCTCTATCACTTATCTAAGGACACACACAACCAAATAAATTTGGAAAGATTTTGGTCTACAATGCTGTAGAAAATACTGGACTACCTATAATGACCTATGTCAAGACACTGCCTATTGGTAGTTAAAAAAAAAAAAAAAAAAAAAAAAAAATTAAAAAAAAAAAAAAAAAAAAAAAAAAAAGCAAACTTGTTTTATGTAAACTGAATATTCCAGATATTTGTTAAAATTCATGAAAGTTAGGCACATCTGATTTCTGTTTAAGTTACAAGATCATATATAACGCATCATTTTGATCATTTATTCCCACACGAAGTTGGTATGATTCAGTATCTTACAAAACAGACTAAAGCTCTGAGCATCCGAAATCATCGGATGGACAGCAGTCTGCTCACAGCGACCCCCTTACCAGACTGAGGATGTGCGTGGGGTCCAGAGGCATCAGCAGGCTGCCTTTGTGCGCTGTCTGGGGAAGACAGCAAAGACGTGGAGCGGGGGCTTTCGGTGGAAGAGCAGACTGGATGAGCCTGAGCAGACGCAGCAGACGATGTAGAAGGCTGAAGAAAATGCTCGGCAGGAGCATCCACATCCATTGCAGTCTCACCGGCTTCCGGATCAGGACTTGATGGGACCGCAGGAAGAGTGGAAACATCTGACTGACTTGTTTCACCTTCAAAACACACACGTCAAGGCAAATTCAATTTTTAAATGCATTAAAAACCAACAACCCTAAAAAAGAAATGTTCACAAACTTGTACACATACAAAAATCGATTACTTCAGGGTATCAGGAATAGCCACTGGCGGTTTGTCCATTTGCTCAAAGAAGCTAATCTAGAGGAGTAAAAACCTAGGTACAAAACACATTTTTGTTAAAAGTCTTTCCAACTATACAAAACTTGTTTATAATTTTGTATTTTCCATTCTCAAAGTACAGTTAGAAACAGGAAATCCCAGGCTTTTCTTCTTTCTTTCTTTTTTTTTTTTTAAAATAAGCAAAAGAGCTTGAGTTGGTAGAACCAGAATTCTGGAAGATTGTATAAACCGTGCGATGACTACAACCATAAAACATTGCTGTAATTTTGATAAAATGAAACTAACTTCTATACATGATTTTTATCAGCTTTCTGATGACTTTATTAATAAGAAAAATTACCTCTGGGTCGAGATCTTCCTCGTCCTCTATTGCTCTGTGCAACTTCACTCGCTTCTTCAAACCATCTTGATAACATATCAGACATTCTCTGCATCAGTGATACATTGGGACTTTGCTCTCCTATTTTAACATAAATTTTATCAATGAGTCTAGTAGTAAGTCAGGATTTTCTTCTGTTAATGCAAAAACCTAGATGTGAAGAGCTTTAAGATACAAGCAATTTTTAAAAATCAATTAGCCTAAATAAATTATAAGAATGTATAAAAATCCATTGAAGCCCACGTTACAGTTACTTATGCGAATGATTCCGTGTGCACATGGTAAGATCCTCAAGAATAAGAATAATAAGAATAAGAATAAGGTTCAAATCTTCTTCACCTCTGCCAATTTGCCTGCTCTTGGGTACTTTCTTATCTCCCACCGACTCAAATTCTCTTCACTTTTACATCTAAGAATACCCAGCTAGGAAGGCTTTCAAGTTAAAGATAATGAAAGAAGGTTTTCCCTTTCCCTAGAGCATTGTTATCGAACACAGACACAAATATACAATTAGGCTTTTGCATGAATTTTTCTAAAGCTTAATTTTCATGTTACTGTAAGCAAATTTCAGATAACTGAAATTAGTAGAAACCAGATGGTATTTTATCTTTTCTCTCATTCTTGTTCTTCCTGAAAACAAACAAGTTATTTTAAAATTGATAGCCTGGTGTCAAATTTAAAATGTTACAACTCTATTCTACAATCATATAAAGTGATAATGTTTTTGTGAAATCAGAATTTTGTATTTTATTGCCAATATATTATGTAGCTTTACATTTAAATATATTACAAGGTAATAAGGACAGTACACTGAAGAATATGTTTCTGATCACAAAGAGTTTTTGAAGTCATTAGAATAAGACCTTTGGCCACAGACTCACTTATTTGATAAATTATACTCAGATTAATCCTATTTAAAGTGTACCAAGATTCAAAAGCCCCCAAGGTAGTTTCTTATGCTTGTAAAGCAATGTCAAAGAAAAAGTATGTGCTATTATAAAATTCTCAAGTTAGAAATCTAGTTTCTGCTTTTCTTAGTATCTAACAGAAGGTAAAACTAAAGTCTGATAATACCTAGTGTTGAATGGGGCAATGACTATTCTTAGCAAGTGAGTAGGAATGTAAATTAGTGCATCTTTTTTGGAAAGCAATTTGATAACTATCAAAATTTACATGTATAGCCAGGTGTGGGGGTGCACCCCGGGAATCCCAGTGTTCTGGGAGGCTGAGGAAGAGACTGTAAACACAAACACAGCTTGAGCAACTCAGCAATTTAGCAAGACCCTGCCTCAAAATTTTAAGAAGGATTGAGGGTGTAGCTTGGTACAGAGACCCAGGGTTCAATGCTCAGTACTGCAAAAAGGAAGTACTGTGCACACTTATCAAGGGACTCAGTCACTCCACTTCTAGGAAGCCATTCTAAGCTCTATCTGCACACACGTATCGAGACCTGCGGGCAAGGGTATTTGCCGCAGTGTCCTTGAGAGTAATAAAAAATGGGAAATAAGTTGAAATGTTACTTTGTCAATGAAATATACCAAAAAAGCTGGCCAAAGGATAATTACCATCTCGTTCTCGTTCACTCTCAGGCCTTGCTCTGGGTCCAGTATCTGACCAATCACCACGAAGTCTCAAACGTTTAACTGGAGGCTGCCGTAACTAAAAGATAAGGGTAGTTAGAGCGCATGTGAGTCGAAAGAAAAATCCACTATTACCCCTTTCCCCAGGCCAAGGATCCAACCCAGAGCCTCACCTCACGCATGCCCTGCAACCGCCCCACCGAGTTACACCCACCAGACTCTATGCTTACAGCACACTTTCAGTCAGATGATTTCCATCTCCCTATGCTGAGAATCTAAGCAAAAGCGATGCAAGACACTGATACAAGTTAAGTTACGTTAGCCTCCTGCGGCACTCAGGAGGATAAATATCCACTGGCGCTGACAACCTGTACCTAGTATCTCCAACTCAGAGTCTCAATGCAACTGCGCCATTATGGACAGGGGATTTCTAACCCCGCCTCTATCACTTCCCAGCTGACTGGGAAGTTCACCAGTTTCAGCACAATTTTGTATAAGGTGACAACAAGTGCAGTTTAGCCAAAGTACCACACACCCAACAACTGAAGTTATTATTTTTACTTGTTCTTGACAATTTACTCTCCGTTTCTCCCCAGCACCTACTCCAAACCTTTACCACTCGCTGCAACCTTTCTAATCTTGGCCAATAACATTTCCTCCTACTGCAGAGAATATACAGAAAGGCCTATACAATCGACATCAATTTCCTCAGCTGAATTCTGAAGCTGATCGCGTGTCTCCAGCTTCCTAGTTCCAACCTTTCTCAAGGGATGGACCACTTGCTGTTAGAACCTGCTTTGTCCATATGTGCTTTTTACTTCAATTCCTCGAGCAGCTTGCCGCCACAATCGTGCTTTGTCCTTATACACACATCCGTTTTCTTTTGCCTGCTTCTCTCTCACAGCATGCTGAAAGTTATTTTTCATGTAAATAAGACAGTACCTCAGTTTTGTTTTTCTTTCCATCTATAATCCCTTCTTTTGCTTTCACTCTACTCTGAAACTCAAAAAAGTCAGCATTCATTCTACCAACCATTCCTTCCTCAGCCCACAGAAGTATCCACTGATTTAATTCCCCACAAAGCTTACCAATGAATGATCACTGATCAAGGATAAAGACAGCCATCGATACACAATAATCACGCAGCAGGTTTAACATGTTCAAGGCATCTGACACTCTTGACCACTCCCTCTAACATTTAACCTTTTTAACATTTTTATAGCAATACACTTCCCATCCCAGACTACCAGTTTAAAGTATATAACTCACAAGTATACATTCATGGATTTACAAAGCTGTACAGCTGTCATCACGGTCTACTTTCAGATATTTACACCATGCCAAAAAAAGTTCAAGCCTATCAGTGGAAACCACTAATCTACTTTCTACCTCTATGGATGTGCATATTTTGGATGTTTCATATAACAAGAGTCACACAATGGCTTTTGCCCCTGGCTTGTTTCACTTAGCATGTTTTTAAGGTTTACTCACAAACTATCATACATCATCCTTTCATTTTTCATGGCTGAATACTATTCCATTTTAGGGATCATATTGCATTTTATTTATTAGTTGATAGACACTGAATTGTTTCTACTTATTGACTATTTTGAATAATGCTGCCACTGAGCACCCTATCATGGTTTGGATTTGAACTGTTCCCCTAAAGCTCACGTACTGATAGCCTGGTCCCCAACACAGGAGTGTTCAGAGGTGGGGCTTTGGAAGATGACTACATCAGAAGGGCTCTGAACTCATCAGTGGGTTAATCTACTGACAGATTTACAGCCTAGTGGCTACTAGGCAGTTGTGGGAACTTTCAGAAGGTGGGGCCTGGTTGGAGGAAGCAGGTGCTGCAGGGTGTCCATGACGGATACCGTTTCATCCTTGGCTCTGCCCCTTTGCTGCCTGGCCCCATGTGGTGAGCAGCTTGCTTCACTGCACTCCCTGCACGATGTCCACTTGTCACAGTCCAGAAAGAACGGAGCCAAGTGATGATGGGCTGAAATCTCTGAATCCATGGGGCAGGATGAGTCTCTCTTCCTTTTAAATTATTTGTATTAGGTATTTTGTCCCAGCAAGGAAAGCTGACTAACACACAGATTATAAGTATTGTTAGGGATGTATGTTTTCTTTTCTTTGGTGGGGGGTATTGGGGATCAAAGTGGGGTCCTTGTGCTTGCGAGGCAGGCACCAGAACCACTGAGCTAAATCTCCAGCCCGGGACGTATATTTTCCATTTTCTTGGAGGTGTACGTGTGTGCAAATATATAGGTAGAGTGTACACATATGTGTGTATAACTATATCTATGTATTTGTGAGTTAAACTGCTGGGTCAGAGGATAACTGTTTTTAATTTTTGAGGAACTGCCTAACTTTTCCAAAGCAGCTAACCATATCACGTTCCCACTAGGGAAGTGTGAGGGTTCCAATTTCCCGTATACTCTCACCAACACTTGCTACTGATTGCCTTTTTAGGCTTTTCTGCGTTAGCCGTCCTAATGGGTGCGAAGTGGTACCTCCTTGGTTCTACTGTGCATTTCCTGATGACTAGTTATGCCCACTATTTCTGCATGTGACACTGGCCCTCGCCCTCTGTGTGACCCATTGGAGGGAAGATTAAAACCTTTTACAGATTTTCATTGAGTTACTTTTTTTAAAAATTCAGTTGTAGAAGTTCTTTATATATTCTGAGCACTACTCTATTCAGATAATAACATTTACAAACATTTTCTCACATTTTGCAGCCACTCCCTTTATTTTTAATAACATTCTGGCGTGTGATGTAGCTCAGTGGTAGAATATTTAACTAGATATGCAAAGGACTGGGTTCAGGGCCAGGGATTTAGCTCAGTGGTCCTGCCACCTGCCTCAAGCACAAGGACTCGAGTTTGATCCCTGGTACCAAAATAAATAAATAAATAAATAAAAATTAAAAAAAAATCAAAGCACTGGGTTCAATCCTCAATACCACAAAAGGAAAAATAAAAATAACACTCACTGATTTTTTTTTTCCTCACTCACAAACAGGTTTGACTTAAAAACCCTGATGACCATTTTGTTGTAAATATTCTGATTTCTCCTGGAAAGCACTCCAAGCAACAAGGAAAATAGAAAAACAAACTCTCACATCCTCAGGATAGGAGACAGGAAAAACCAAAATCCACAGACTCCATATAATGAGCAAGTCTGGCAAAGAGCAACTGAAAATAGCAAAATCTACACCGGAAGCCGCAGCATAAACAAGTTATAACTAGAACTGAGAAGAAAAGAGTCAAAGTTATCCAAAATCTCAAATAAAAGACAACCTCATACATTACACAAACTATATTTAGAGTAACATAAGATAACCCTACATCATGGTTGTGAAGAAAAGGAATTTCTATATCATGTAGGCAAAGAACTCATAATACAATTTAAGCAACTATTTCTGAAACAAGATATTCAAATTAAAAACAACTCCAAGTTTGACTTGTGTGTGTCTGTCTATGGATGGGGATTAAGCCCAGAACCTCACCATGCTAGAAATGTGCTTTACCACTGATCTCTATCCTGAGCACCTCTCCACTTTCTGAGTATGTGACTTAACTTAGTCAAGACGACAGAAGATGGCATAGCATTTATGTACTATTCTAGATTCAGGGAAAAAAACAATGAAGAAAATAGGAAAAAAATGCTCATTGTTGGCTGGATGATGGCACATGCCCATAATCCCAGCTACCTGAGAGACTGAGGCAGGAGGATCAAACGTTTGAAGACAGCTTGGGCAACTTAATTGAACCTTATCTCAAAATAAAATACAAGCTGGGGATATAGTTCAGCACTAGCATGCCTGAGGCCCAGGGTTCAATTGCCAGTACCTCACACACAGTAAGTCACAGAATATATTATCTACAGGAACTGATGATACATGAAAATTTAAAAGTAAAATATACATAGAAAATGGAAAGTATTATAGGAAAAGATAAATTACAAAGGTTACAGGTGGTCCTAAGATTTAAGGATTATGATCTTAAATAGGGTAGTGAGGAGCTGCACCAAGATACCAACACAGTCAGCACACACTGGGCAAGGAAGAAGTCGCAGAAGAAGTAGCAGAGTGGAAGGTATGCAGCTGTGCCTAGAGCAAAGGAGAGAGCAGTAGCAGCAGCAATGAAAGCCATGAAAAACTTCAATGGAAAGCTGTGCAGCCATGACAGGACCTCAGCTTTGCTCTGCTGGGAGCCAGGGAGTCAGGCGGAGCAGTGAGATCCGACCTGTATTGCAGAGGATCACGTGGCTGCTGTGCACCCAGAGGACTAGAGAGGGAAAGCAGGAAGCCCAGTTAGCAAATTACCATTGAGTAACCTGGGAGAGATGCTAAGCCCTGGTCAGGGCAGTGGAACAGGCAGGGTGGTTGGCAGTAGTCAGGTCTGGGATACACTCTTTAAGACAAGCTACCAAGACTAGGAGAAAATGACAGAACTGATTCAATGACAAAATCCAATAATGGAATGGAGCAGATGAGAAAATGCCAGAAACGTGTTGGAAGGAAAAAGAGAGGAAAGACAATAAAGGAATATAAAATAAAGAAAACTGAGAAGTAACCTAAAAGTGAAATAAGACAAAAGAATATACTGAAGAAAGAACAGAAAAATATGAAAGCAATTATTAGAAGCCATGAAGATATAAGAGGCTCCTACAAATTAAGAAAATACACAAATACAGTATATAGAGGCACAAGAAAAATCATATAATAAACTTTTAATTCATGTTTTAAAACACTGCTCAAGCTTTACTAATTTTCCAATCAAAATCAATTCTCTTTTGTTCTATTTATACAGAACATAGTACTTATAATTTTATTGCTTTAATAGTCACACATTTATTTATTTATTTATAGCTCTACATCCACTACATAATACCTTCCTTGAGCCAGGGGCCAGTTTAATGTAGGACTTAGTACACAGTGGGCATCCACTAAATATTTGCTGAGTTAAGAACAGTTGGTCTGAACACTACTACCAAGGTTTTAGTACAAATACAGAAAGAAAAAGTGTGGAACGAAGAGGGAGATATATTATTAATTTATATATACTTCTTAAGTACTTGGTTCGTCTAGCATCGTTTATTTTTTATAATTACAATTTTTAAATTATTTTTCTTAATTTGGTTAATACAATAAAGAATACTAAGAAATATAAACATGTTAAAAAATAAAATAAAACAGAACTCTTCACGACCCAGCATCATTCATTCTGATTATATACAAACACCTTCTGGCTAAAGGTCACATGGTAGCAGTTAGTCGGCCAACTCAAAAAAGTCTCTGTACAGCTTGTAGCTAGATGTCTCCCTGAAGCCTGATGCACTCATACCTAGAGAATTCTGAAGGAGGCTGGATTAGGGTGAGCCAGGGACAAAGGGTATGAGGATGGGATTAACGGAGTGGATAAAGAAGGCCCCTGCTAGGTGAAGTTGGCTCTACCCAAAAGACTGGTGGCCCGCATGGGGAAAAGGGCTTTAGAGGGAGGAGCTTCTGCTGCTTGCTTCCTGCTGCCTTCTGCCGGCTCTGCCATGCCAGACTGTTTCTTCTCTGCAATGTCCCTCTGCCATGCCGCCTGCTTTATCTCTACAACTTAAGACCTGAAATAAACCTTCTTCCTTTAACATTGGGTGTTGGATATTTTGTCTCAGCAATAAGAAAAGCAACTGAGACAACTTCCAACCTTTTCATTATCTAACAGTCACAAGATTGGGCTATAACTTTACTTACCCACATACCTCAAGAGATCACAGATTCGATCCCCAGTACCAAAAAAAAGAAAAAAAAAAACACAAACAAAAGAGAGATCACAGAAACAACAAAGTGACTGCAGAGTTTGTGTTTTCAACCAGACCAATAAATAATTGTCATTAGCTATCATACCCTCTTGTCAATTTCCAAATTCATTTCAATATACTGTCACATAAAAATCCTAAAATAGGTTGATAAATTAATTGTAACTTTATAAATCACAGTTGAATTTAGTTTTGCATCCCATAGGAGTTACAATTATTATTCTTTAGTAACCTTTAAAATGTGTTTATTAAAAATCCATGCTTAATTTAAAAAGACATCTATAGCCAAAACACAGCATGAATAAAACCACAGGATGTTAAAAATTTTGAAAACCAAAATGAAAACATATTAGGGATAGAAGCTGACAGACTAAAGCAAACACTGTTCTATGGCTGTGCAATACAAAAACTGCATTTCTAGTTTTCTACTTTAATAACTAAGAAAATATTTGGTCATTTCAGTGACAGTAACTGAATTCATTCACTGCTTTTACATATACCTACTTTAACTTTTCCCCATTTGTTTATATCTGTTTTGTAAAATGTACCTATGGACATTAATATGTATCATTCATTAGTCCATAACTGTGAAAGAGAGGCACAACTCAGAGGAGAGGAGACTGCTGCCACATATGAATAGTAAGGAATGGGTTGAAAACCTTTAGTGCCCTGAAGTTTGTCATCCCATTTTCTATTAATTGCCTTTCCTACAAGTGTTACAACTGCTGATCTTGCTTGGTGCTGCTGTGCATCTACAAAGTAAGAACATTTTGCTATTAAATATTTTCTTTTAAAAAATACCATGGTGGCCTCTGTTCTTTAATGCACTTATCTGTCTGTTTGGCCGTTAGGGTCCAGAAGTCACTGAGTCAATATTTCAATTGAATAAAGAACACAGTTTTGAGTAAACATACCTCTTCTCGCCTCTCTTCTGTAGAGGGAGTTTTCAGTTCTCGTGCTGTATCATCTTTTGGGTCGAAAAGATAGATGTAATCTGAAGAGTAACTAACAAGAATCTCTTGTCCATCTTCGCTGTAACACAGAGACGTCACTCTACAGGACTTATTGTTCAGATGGGAAGGAATAAAGCGGGCAACCATTCCAGTAGTCCCTCGACCCGCATAATTCCCTGAATCACAAACACAAAGTTATTTCTACATTACATAAACATTTTATTGAAAACATCAGTTATTTAATACATTGTTTTATGATTATAGTGACACAAAATCATCTTCCAAAAATTCACTTTCAGGTAAATTTTCATAATAGAAAAGCTGACTGTTAATATCTTAGAATAGAATTCGAATTATAATTAATTCTATCAATAGACTTCAATACAACAGGGAAGAGTATAACTGGCTCTTAGTGCCCTGGGGACCCAGAATGCTAAATTCTAACAAACTCAAAGATGAAAAAAATCTTGCCCAATTGAGTCTTGTCCTAGTCAAAATGTCAAATTGTCTCACATCTGTTAAGAACAACAATTAAGCCCAGAATTTCACATTACACTATGATGCTTCCCCTGAAATGTGCCCATGTAACTGACAGAACTCAATCACAGTTCAAGAGAGAAAAAAGCTCTTCTGGTGTTAAGATTTGCATCTAGATGTCCCCAAAGACTCGTGTGGTCATAGGTGGGGCTTTTTGGAGGTGACTACATCTAGGGTATGTGATACTTGGATTAAGGGTGTGACACTGGGATTAAGGGTGCTTGATTACTAATTAGTCCACTGATTGCTTTAGCATAGCTCTGGGTATGGATAATGGGAAGGCCTACCCTGGGCGTGAGTGGCACAACCAAATCTCTGGTAGCCTAGATGAAATAAAAGGGAGAAGCAGGCTTGTTGCTGTTGTACCTGTTTCCCCCTGCTGCTGCTTGCTGCTGGCTTCTGGCTGCCACACCATAAACTGTTTCTCCTTTGTGATGCCTCTCTGCCATGTGCCACTCTGCCTCAGAACCAGGCAACTATGGAGTGAAACCTCTATAAGCTGTGAGCTATAACAAGCTTTTCCTCCTCTAACTCTGGGTATCAGGTATTTTGCCTAAGTAACAGGAAAAGTAACTAAGATATCTAGTATTCTCATTACAATAATCTATGCCATTTTTACTGACATAGCTGACTTCTGTCCAACTTCATCTTTATTTTTCACAAAATAAAATACCGAATGTATATTTGATATCCATATTTATGTGTACACATGCAAACACACACACATAAGTGTACACAAGTGCACATGCTTGCATACATAAGTAATCTTGGCTTTCCTACTAATGGAAGCTGGTTTTCAATTGGTTATTTCAGAAGTGTTTTGATCCCACAGTGAAAAAGAACTGATTCAAGTCAAATTCAGTACTGCAGCTTTAACAGTACTTTAGTTAAGCTAAACAGACAAAAATATATGCTACGTATTAATACCTAAGCCACTGTACTTTCTAACTTTTCTCTCTACCATTTTTATTGTTATTCTCTTAACTGAAAAAGAGCAGAGTCCTCCCAAAATGTGTGTCTACCTTAAATTTCACAATGTGACCTTGTTTGGAAATAGGGTCTTTGTCAATGTAATTGAATAAGGTCAAATCATAGGAGAGTGGGCCTTAAATTCAGTGTGTCTGGTGTCTTAAAAACAGGAAAATGTGGACACTGGCACACCCAGAGAACGGCACACAGACTGCAGTGGTGCATCTCACAGACCCAGCTACAGCGAGGACTGGAGCAGGAAAGAGGCGGGAAACAGATTCTCTATCAGCTGCAAGACGGCTTGATTTCAGATGTCTAGCTTCCAGAAATGTGAGAGGCTCACGTTCTATTGTTATAAGAGACTCATTTAGTGGTAATTTAGTATGGCAGTCCTGGAAAACTAATATACCCAAAATCACAATTTTTAAAGTGATAAACTGTAAAAATATCCCAGTAAATCTTAAAAACTTCAACAAATGCTTTTTGGGAGCAATAATCCGTATTTAAAAACATTCTATTTCTTGAAATTTTATAACTAAAGTTTTTAAATGGAAAACATGAGGATTTATTCTGTGAATTGATAAGGACCCTTGTTTTTTCTAACATTATCTCTTTACCTGTGGCTCTTGTTCCCAGCATTCTCCGATCATATATTCGTACTGAGCTATCAGAACAACCAACAGCAAGATAATATGGTACTGGCGGACAGATAGCAACTGATGTGGCAGCACGTCGACAGTTAATTAAAATATCCTAGAAAGGACAACACAATACCACTTACATCTAGCCATATTACACTAAATTTAACCGTTTAACTATACTAAATTTAAAACATTTCCCCTTCAATTACAAGAACACAAGCTTTTTCAGAAATTCTAACTCAGTCGAGACAAACAGGTACAAAAACAATACGGTTTTCTTAACTTAATCTACCTTTTAGTTCTAATTAGAAACTGTTTCTAACATTTTCAACATAGTAAAACCAAGATAAATATACTCAGCAATATCCCTCTTTAGAATCTATCACTAATAAAATGTTCGCTTTACAGTTTGCCTAAATTAATTTCTATTACAATATTATACACAATGATTGTGAAGCAATTAAAATAAGAATATATTAAAATACTAAATTTTAGAGATTTAAAACAAACAGCCAATACCTGAGTCATACAAAATACATTCTGAAAAGGAACAAATAAAAATAGCCCAAATATAAAAATAAAACACTGAGCAACTGTGATTATCAACTACCATAAGGGGACAAGAAAGTTACATTACCACCATTTAAATCCTTTAGCAAAACTACCTTTTGTGCAATACAGTATGATACAACTGACTACTATATATTCCCCTACTAAATAATAAAAATCTTTAGAAACATAAAAAAAATTCATACATGACCTATGTAATGGGTCACTAAGCCATTAATAGCATTAGAAATGCCTATTATTGGTCCACCTAGATTAAAGGTAAAAGTGCGCTCTACCTTTGTCTATAATACACACTGATGATTATATGATATTGATATTATTCTGACTATTGACAATTGCTACTGAAATACAACAAGAATATTCTTAACTGATTTTAAAATTTTATACCTAACTGGCAAAATCTTCTCCTCACCAGTTTAAAAACAAAGTCATACACATAATACAAACCCCGCAATACATAGGTTTTACTATAATGTCAGTACTTACCCTAGAAGCATTACAAAATGTATGTGCTACCACCTTTAAAAATATCCTTAAGGTACAATGTTAATTCCATACTATTCTGCCTAATGATTCTAGTCCCTCTTTCTTTTCAATATAGACATGATTTTAAATTACCTAAATTAAACTTATTAATCTCAGAATTTTACCCCTGATACAAAGAATTGATTTCTCAATATCTTTCCTAGTTCTAAGATAGTAGTAGCTAAGAATTACTGTCATTACCAGTCTTTCTTTACGTTCTCCTCTTCTCTTCAATTCTCTACATATGCAACAAAAAAAAGTTTTAAGGATATTCACTTCTTAACCCTGCATTCCTATTTTTATAATGATTTTGTTTAGAAAAGTACAACTAATCCTACTACACTGTATTTGGAATAATGAATTTTAATACTAACCATTTACTAAGAAACTAACAAGTTTCAGTTCCCTGCTTTCTGTTTCTATAGGCATGTATATACATAAAGCATAAAAACTGATTAAAAATTCTGTTTAACATTTTTTCAATTTCCACTTATTTTCTTTTCCTGTATAAAAATAATCTTATCATCCCAAAAGCATGAAAATTGTGCTAACTAGTTTAGATAGCACACACTTAACCTGATTAATTCTTAGCTTTTCTTTTTGCTACCTTTCAGTAAAAATAGCTAAGCAATACTTGTTTATTTCTTTTTTTTTTTTTTTTTACTTCATAGCAATTCAAGAAAAGGTTACTATATGCTCTAAATAATGTATAACAGATAAAAACCCTTGAGGTTGGTTTTCTGGAGTCCAAAGATTGAAAGCTTTCTCATTCTTTCATAAATTTCAAACAGTATTAAAAAGTAAAATATTGGTAGTAAAGATATGTTTAGCTAAATTTGAATGAAAATATGGATAAAACAGCATCTTATTCCTTTAAAAAAATACTGGTTTAAAAGAAAAGGAGGAAAAAGGACACAACACTTCTATAAACATTTATCACTGCTATTTTGGTAAGCCAAAATCATCTCCATGAGCAAATAAGATACACTGATAAATTCCCCAGGTTTTTATACAACAAAGACTTAAACAATTTTCAAAAATACATCTTAAATGCACAATTAAAATCTAAGTTTCTTGACATCAACACTAAAATAGTTTTATGACCAGTTTAGCAAAACAAAATTTCACCCATAAACAAAAACAAAAAACACATAAAACAAAAAAAGTTCACACATAATCATCCTCTAAAGATAACTGCCAAATTTAAATTATATCCATAATTTTTCTTGAATCAGTTGTTCAAAAATTGGAATTCTTACATCTTTGCAATCTTCTTTTGTGCAGCTAGTTTTGATGCGTGTGTCAAACCACCTAACAGTTCCATCTTCACCACAGGACAGAAAAGTGTAAGGATCATTTGGTACAGTCATGATCTAAGAGGAAAACAAGAACACAGGTAACCTGAAGGAAAATTCAAACAGGTGGCTGTGAAACACACTGCTACTATTTCACAGAACGACTGGAGTACAAGCCACAAAAACTACACATTTTAATTAGACGTGACTTACCCCACACCATGATGCAAAGCAATACAATGTAAACATCAGATTGATTACTTCCACAGTACGGTTAATATAACTTCACACAGAAACTTCTAATAATCTTGATGAGCAACACCCTCCCATAGTTGGTCAAACTATTCAAAGCCTAGTTTGGAGGCCAGGGATTTAGCTCAGTGGTGCCACCTACTACCTGCCTCGTAAGCACAAGGTCCCAAGTTCGATCTCCAATGCCAAAAAAACAAAAAACAAACAACAAAAAACCAAACTAGTTTTTATGCTTTCTGTAGGTGAATTTATTTTATTATACATATGTAACATTTTCTCCTTTGGTGTTCAAAAAATAAACTGGGATGCTGAAATAATTTAAGCAAATAAGCCATTAACTCAAAAAGAATCTTAAACGATGGTGATAGTTACACAACAATATAAACGTATTTAGCCAGGCGTGGTGGCACACACCTATAATCCCAGCACTCAGGAGGCTGAGGCAGGAGGATCGCTGTGAGTCTGAGACCAGCCTGGCCTACATAGTGAGTTCCAGGTCAGTCTCAACTACATAGTGAGACCCTGTCTCAAACAAACAAACAAACAAACAAACAAAAAACCCAACGACAACAACAAAAAATACATAAATGTGTTTAATGTCCCAGAGCTATATACTAATAAATTTATATATTGGCAAATTTAATGCTATATAAATTTTAGCACAAAAAATTTTCAACATTTTTTTTTATTAGTACCTAGTATGAACTGATTACATCCCTATAGTAGTATCTACATCTACTGACAGAGGGAAAGGGGACAGGGGTTCACAGAGGGCCCCAACTGTCTCCTCTCCTCTCTCTCTCTGGACAAGAGCAGATACTAACAACTGTGGCTACCCAGTATTCCCATATGTGGCTTTATGCAACCAACAGTGGAAGGCATGTTCCTGTGTTTTAAATGTTGCATACATAAGAAAGTATTCAGACTCATTAATCACCACGAAATACAACTCAGTATTGTAAGAATGGCCACACAACACAAGAATGAAAGACCGTTAATATCAAGCACGGATGCCTGTGTAGAGCAATTGGACAGTCAATGGCAGCACAAAATAGCACAGTCACATGGAAAGCAACGTGTCAGTCTCTGCTAAAGTAGATCATATGCCTTTCTTGTGACTCAGCAATTCCACTAAACTAAAACCTGTACAGGGGCACCTAAAGACGGGTACTGGAATGTTCACGGTAGCACGAAATACTGGAAACAAACCAAAGAGTCAACAACAAATAGAAATGAAAACTGCCAGGGCAGGGAACATGGCCCCATGGTAAAGTGCTTATCTTGTGAGTACAGGGCTCTGGTTTCAGTCCCAGAGGAGAAGAGGGAGGGGCGGAGAGAGAAGCAACAGAAGGGCAGAGAGGGAGAGGGAGATTTGATGCTGCTGCATTGCTGACTCTGAAGGAGGAGGAAGGGACCTTGATCTAAGGAATACATAAGTCCTCTAGAAATTGGAACAGCAAAATCAGAAGGCATGGACCTGCCAGCATTGGACTTTAGCCCCAGTAACACTCATTTCGGCCTTGAGAATTCCAGAACTGTAAGATAATGGGTGTTGTTTAAGCCACATTATATAGATAACTAATACTTTCAAGCTATTAAATCTGAATGCAGACATGTCTTTTGCTTCCAATGAAGTTGTGCCACCAATACAGTGTAACAAGATTTAGACAATGAAAGAAGAAACTTGCAAAAAGTATACCCAAGTGAGTGTACATTTCTAGGAGAATAAGACTTTAGACTCATTTTTATCTGTGAAAAATGTCAACTTTCCCCTCATCAAGCAAGTAGTGTTGAACTATTTACTTGTAAAATTATTTTATTAATAAGAAATACTTTTGTAATTTGTTGTTGACTCAATTTGGACAAGTTTAACAAGTCAAAGGCCACTTTTTACTTTATATACTGTACAAACCAAATTCTTGTGAGCACATATTTCTTCTAAAAATTCATTTATACAAACTAGAATAATGAAATTTGTTCATGCACTTACTTATTTTAAAATGACTTGCGTACATCACAGTTACAAAATGAAAAGATTATATTCCTAACAGTAATTTAGGTTATTGACTAATTTTAATGATAACTTTTACAGATAGTCACTTAAGAACCCTTCCTTACAATGTAACCTTCCTCAAGAAGGTGGAAAAAAACATGTTACAACAGATGCACTTCCAGAATGGCCAAATGATCACTGAAATATACTCTTCCATAAAAGCACTGAAACACTGCAAAACATGACACAATCAAATTTTTCAGAACTCTGAGAATTAACCATCAATTTTAAACAACCCAAGGAACATTTCTTAAAGCAAAATGTCAGAAAATGAGTGAGCGTTTTATTATTTTCCTTAACTCCGTGGCAGCCCTGAACACCAACAGCCTTGCATCTACGGTAGTTGTGAAAATCAGCACCTTATAGTCACAAGGTGGGCTAGAGCTCCCAAAGCTGTCACCATGGAGACTTCTCTCAAATGCTGGAAATGCTCCATTCTGAGGGCTTAACACTGAATTTACCCTGCTGTGACAACAGCCCTACACTAAGGATGTGTGTCAAAAATAATGAGCAGTAAAACCAGGCATGGCGGCACATGCCTGTGTTCCCAGCTCTGTGGGAGGCTGAGGCAAGAGGACTCCAAACTTGAGCCCAGCCTGGGCAATTCAGCAACACAAAAAAAACAAAAAAAGGGCGGATATGTAGCTCAGTAAGTATGCAGGCCTTGGCTTCAATCCCTAGTACCACCCATCAATCAGCAGTAATGATTTAACATCATAGTTGCTTGAAGCAGCAAGGTAAGTAAAACAAAACACTAAGTAAAAACCAGTGAATCAGCACAACTGAGGAATTTAAAAAACTGTAAGATATTTCTGGGACTAGGGGAAGATTTCAGAAACTAGGGGCATGTGGTAAAGTTACCCACGTGCCCAAGAAGGCCCTATTCCACCATCCCAAGTTAACCTGCAGGCTTCACACAAACAAGGAGGAGGACCTAGGTATGGGCAGTGGCACTGTGGGAGAGCAGTGACTCCAAGGGCCTTGGGCTGATCCCAAGCACTGAGAAAAACAAAACACAACCCTGCACCTGAAAGTTAAGGCAGAGCTGTAAGCTGGTAGAGCACCAAAGGTACATCTAAACACACAGAGCCCTCTGACAGAGACTAGAAGACGTAGACATTTAAGGAAATCTGTCACTCACAACGAGGCTACAGAGACTTCAGTGACCACAAATTTTATAGAATTATAAAATTCTAGGAAACTCGCTAGACAACAACAAATTCTGAGGAGGAGAAATTAACACTGTTATTTAAAAAGTTTATGGTTTAGTAAAAAAATCAGCAAGCATGCAAAGAAACAGAAAAGTATATTCCACACTCAGAGTAGGGGGTGGGGCTTCAAAGGAAACACAAAAATTGAACTAAAGGAACTCTTTAAATCGGCTACTCAAATGTGCTGAGAACTGACAAAAATCATATCTAAAAAAGTCAAGGAAAAATATAAGAAAAATGTCTCCCTAGGGAGACTGTTAAAAGATATTATTAAAAACGAGTTAGCCAGGGACTTAGCTCAGTGGTTCGGTGGCCTGCCTCGCAAGCACAAGGACCCCCCGAGTTCAATCCCCAGTACCGAAAAAAAAAAAAAAAAATTAAAATTCTAGAGTTAAAAGTATAACTGAAGAAATATTCACTAGTGGGACTCAGCAGCCAACTTGAAGCGACGGAAGAGTCAGTGATGATAAATACACTGCACTGGTTGACCTGGGAAGAAAGACTCAGAAAACACACCAACACACACCACACACGTTCCAGAGGAATGGAGACCAAGAGGTAGGACAAGTATTTGAAGAAATAATTGCTGAAGCTTCTTAAAATGCCATCTAAAATATGAATCTATGCATACAAAAAGTTCAGTAGACTCCACATAGGATCAATTAAAACAAATTCAAATCTTCACAAAAAGGTAAATTATCAGCAGGCAGATGGACAATTTTGAAAAGGGTAAAAATATACTTAGCCTTATACAAAATAATCCTAAATAAAACTAAAAACTCATTAGACTCCAGAAAAAAACAGAAGTGGGATGAATAATTAATAAGGTGAAAGAAAAGATTTCTGATTAATAATTATATATCCAACAAAAAATGCTTTAAAATGAAAGAAAAAAGTGTACACACTTCAAAATAAACATCACTAGCACACCTGAGCCACAAGAATATTAAATGCTGTACTTAACGCTAAGCTAAAGGACATTAACTCAAAATCATACAAATGAAGAACCATAGTAAAGCTAAAGTACATAAATATAGAATACAGTATAAATATTTTTGTTTCTTACTGGTTTTTTTCCTGAATTAAAACATAACAGCAAGAACCAGTAACAAAATTATTATTCAAGGACTTACGATGTATAAGGATGCAGTTGGCATTAATGAGGAAAGCTACATTTTACCAACATTTTTGTGTTCTATGGAATTATCTTGTAATTAAACTGAACAAAATTATTGCATATTAATTTAGAAATTATAATCCTAGGACTGGGGATTTAGCTCGGCGGTTCCGTCGGCTGCCTTGCAACCTCAAGGACCCAAGTTCAATCCCTGGTACCAAAAAAAAAAAAAGAAATTATAATCCTAAAGTGAGCCACAAAGAAAATAAAGTATCACCTAAAAACAAAACAACAACAACAACAACAGAGTGAGGGGGGTGAAGGGAGGGCAGGGGAACAGGGAAACAGTAAGAACCAAGATACATCATGGAAAGGTACACAACCCAGTGATGAATGCAACTGTATTGTATACCTAAAATGCACTAATAAACAATGAAAAAACAAT